TTTTAAGTGAAGAGCTCAGAGGAATAGAGTATTCTAACTATGAAACTGTTAGGAGCTACTACATCCCAAGTATACTGAGGAATCTGTAGAAAACCTGCCAGCAGGGGATAAAAGCAGACAGAACCATGGGGAGGTTTCATATTTTTTGAATTATCAGCTTGAAGGATGGACTGACTAGGAAAGTAAAAAGGGTCACTTTCACTTACTCAAGTGAGTAAGTGAAAAGGGTCCAGCACTCAGAAAAAAAGGGGTTCTCTATCTTAGATATCTCCACACTAGGCAATTAAAATATGCTTTCGAAAAGAGAAAATAAGAGGAGCTTATATAATATATCCCAGTGAAATCTTTAAACTTCAGAAAGTAGACAAACTGGCTGATGCTGCTAAGCAGCAAATGTCTGAAGTGATCCAGACTTAAGGAATCTGAACACCAGGGAGGACTGCTGTTATTTTTGTCTAATTTTCCCATAATTTTTCTCATTCATTGATTAAACAAAAAACTCAATGGAAGTTCTAGGCTTCTTCTCTAAGGGCAGGTCTCTCAATCTTGGTACTATTGATATATTGGACCAAATAATTCTTTTTGTGGGTGGCTGGGCCTCTGAACTGTAGGTTATTTAGCAACATTCCTGGCCTTTGCACACCAGATGCCAATTGCACTAGCCGCCTAGTTGTGACAACCAAAATTGTCTCCAGACATTGCTGAATATCCCCTAGGAGACAAAAATCATCCCTGGCTGAGAAACCCTGCTCCAGGGGAATGCATTTCTATATGCCATAGAATCAAAGAACCCCACATTGCTAGATTCTGGATTAATGACAAAATTAAAAGCACAGGAAAGATCTGGAGCAGAAAGATACCAGGGTACCAACCCACAAACCTCATGTCTTCTCATTTTGGCTCATTCTCTCTTAGTGGTTTGTGTTCCTGTTTCACAATGCTAGCATTTTCTTGCATCTTGTTCTTATTTGGTTGGGCTTCATTGATGTCTTTTGTAATTATCCATTCCTCACAAAGAGATGCGTGTTCAGATTTGATGTTTTGAAATAGGGTATGTGGAAAGCTGAGGCTTTCCAAGTCACTAGATGGCTGTCTCTGCTTCCTCGAACACCTTGCTTTCTAAAGACATGGCATCTTTGACGAAACAACAATTGAAGAAGGTTGTATTCGATGTGAGACTAGCTGTGAGGCATTATATCCTGGGAGGTAAAATTCACAAAATAGTCATACTGTAATAGATCCTGCAGCATATGGTAATTTGTAGATGGTAGATTGTTGTTTTTTCATGAATTCTCTTTCTAGAAAGTCTAAAAGGCAAGTGGCTTGGAGGAGAAGATCTCACTCAAGTCCAGCAGAGATATGCCAAGGGAAAGTCAGCCAATAATGGGAATTTTTTTTTTAAAAGGTTTTTTATTTATTTATTTACGATAGTCACAGAGAGAGAGAGAGAGGCAGAGACACAGGCAGAGGGAGAAGCAGGCTCCATGCACCGGGAGCCCGACGTGGGACTCGATCCCGGGCCTCCAGGATCGCGCCCTGGGCCAAAGGCAGGCACCAAACCGCTGCGCCACCCAGGGATCCCCAATACTGGGAATTTTTAAAAATAATCATTCACTTGCTGCCCAGCTATAGATATGAGAGGTTTACCAGGCATCAGGAAACATAAAATAAAACTGGATTCTATAATACATTTTTTCTTGTTCATCAATAAAAAATACATAGTAATACTTCTTTCATAAAGTTATAAAAAGTCATTAACGGAAATGTAAAAAATGCATGGAGTACAAAGAGAAAAATTATCCATAGTACTACTATTCAAACCCATCACTACCATTCTTTGGATTTCTTTCCAGTTTCCTTTTTTAATGTATACTTTTAGAGTGTAGAAGAGTGTGGGAGCTTAAAAAGTAGGGTGCTGAAATATATATACTTTAAGCTAGAATTGTACCCTACTTTTTAAACTGGAATTGTACTAAATGCATTTTAAATGTTATTCATAAACATAATTTTTAATGGTACATTAAGTTGCATCAAAACGATGTACCATGGCTACTTAGACTGATTCTAATGATGCACCATTAAAGAGACTTGCAATAAATATTTATAATAACTTTGTTATTATAGAGATCCAAAACTAATGCTATTGAATCAAAGGGCATAAACATTTAAAACATCTTAATGTGTATTGTGTATAGCTTTACAAAAATTTGAATCAATTTATAGACCAATCAACAAATCACAACTATGACTATCTCATCTTGTCATTACCAAAGTCAGATCTTTTCATTAGCTTTATTCTTTGAGTTAATTTTTTTTCCTTTACTTTCATAAGCAATAATATTATTTTCCTCGTATATTCATGTACTAACTGCATTTCCTTTTTGGGAAAATACTATGACTATTACAGTGTCTCTTCAAAATAGAAAAATTAAAAGCAGAAGGAAAATATCTGTCTTACAAGACAATTTTGAAAGTTTATGGTCATTATAAAAGTAGAACTCCTGATTTCGCCATTCTCAAGAACTTTTATTCTCACTTCTCATGACCCTGCCCCCATAACTATTTTCCAGTTAGAGCAAACAATTTGCAGCTTCTCATATAAGCCACATGCTCTCAACCCCTTGGCTTTGTACATGCTGTTCCCTTATCTGGAATGTCCTTTAACATACCTCAACCACACACACCACATGTGCACAGATAGCCCTTTCCAGACCCCAGCGGTAGCTTATCGTTACCTTTCTTGTAGCCCCGACCATCCTGCATCATAATCACTAATATTCTTTTCAGACTTTCCCTCCTGCCCATGTTCCACAAGAGCAGGGACAGCTCATCTTTGATCGCTAGATTCCACATCATTTATCGTCGTGCCTGGGAAAAAGAAGAAGCTCAGCAAATGGTTCTTTCAATATAGACATTACTGAATAATAAACAGTTGTCTTCTTAGTTATACAATTCTATCATCTCCAGTAATTGTCAGGATTTTGAGGTATAGATTGTTTGGGTGGAAAGAATACAAGCTTCAGAGTCAACCAAATCTGCATTCAAACTTCCAGTTCTAGCACTAACCAGTTCAGCATCTTTGGAACAATTACTTAATATCTCTGACATGTCATTGGAACAAATAGTGATAATATGTATCTTATAGGATTATTTGATTATAAAAGATGTATTGAATACAGGTAAAGAATCTGGCATATGGGGCACCTGGGCAGCTCAGCAGTTAAGCATCTGCTTTTGGCTCAGGTCATGATCCTGGAGTCCTGGGATCGAGTCCCACATCAGGCTCCCCACAAGGAGCCTGCTTCTCCCTCTGCGTATGTCTCTGCCTCTCTCTGTGTGTCTCTCATGAATAAATAAATAAAACCTTAAAAAAAAAAGAAAGAAAGAATCTGCCGTATAGTAGTGGCTCAATAGTAGACATTTTTCTAGTTATTGTTGTATATTTCCATTACATGCATATTTCCATTCCATATGTTTCCTTTATACTAAATATTACCGAATTCAAAGGATCTGATAGCCATGGTCTGTATTTTTCTTTGAATGATGAAGGCCAGGACACAAGGTCAGTGGTACTGATCATATTTTTGCTGCCTGAGCAAGAATATTCATTTTAAGCAAATCTCAGGAAAGAATTAGTTCTAATTACAGGTGAGAAAAGTAGGCCTGTATTTTCTAAAGGCAAGAGAAATCAAGTTCTCTGTAAAATAACACATGATCTAATCATCTACTGCTTAATTTTTTTTCTCTTTGCCCCATTAATATTGCTGAAGGTATTTGGGGACCTCAAATTACTATAAATAAAGGCTTGCTGTCCCTGATGGCAGAAGAAAAGAACTTCTGGAACATGCTCTACTTTTCATTTCTAAAAATATGTTCACTTGGGCCATACCAAAGAAGCACGTGAAATCTTCCCAGTTAAAAATCTGATACACACTGGTGGTACATTCAGCATGAATGCACGCATGCACACACACACACGCACACACACACACACCAGATACCCTCTGAAGCTCAGTTTCTTTTATTTATCAAACAGCCATGATTCATATGTGCCTTCTGTATGCCTTCCTTAGGGCTAAAAGACATTTGCCTCCATCTGCCAACCAGATGAACCCAGAGAAAAAGTCACAAATATCATTTAAAAGGAGGATAACACGAGTATTTGTGCATAATAAATTTGCCAAGATCTTTTCCCTCTACCCTTATCCCAAACCTCATCATAAGCTGGTTTTATGTCTCAAATGCTACAGTTTCCCTTCTGATGACAGCTCAGACCCTCTCTCCCAGAGCTTCGTGCTCTCCAGCTTCATACCATACATGATTAAATGTAGAATGAATGGGAAGCCCCCAGTCCAGTGCTAAGCATAAAAACGTGCTCACTACACAATATGTAGTATTTTCTTTCTACCTTTTCAAATCCTTCTGAGCATTCACGTGATCATCCTCCATACCCCAGAATTCCTTCCACAGAGAGTCAAAGTTATTGCCCCAGGCAGGCCTTATCCCATGCTGAGAAATGTCCAGGAATTTCCCATTTTCAGAGGCTTCTGGCATTCCGAAAGATGAAGAAATGCCAAAAAAGACTTTTAAAAATAATAGCATATTTTAGACTTTTACATCTAACAAAAGAATGTTTTTAAAGACCACAATATCCTCTATGATGATATTTCCAAGGTTACCATAAGATTCGTAAAAAGATAATACAGCAAGTGTAGCTCGGGATGCAACAGGCATTTAAAATGCATGCTACAGGGATGCCTAGGTGGCTCAGTGGTTAAGCATCTGCCTTTGGCTCAGGTCATGATCACAAGGTCCTGGGATTGAGTCCCACATCAGGCTCCCCTCAGGGAGCCTATTTCTCCCTTTGTCTGTGTCTCTGCCTTGCTCTCCGTGTCTCTCATGAATAAATAAATAAAATCTAATAAAAGAAAGTAAAAAAAATGCATGCTACATGTCATTTTCCAAATCTGTTTATTGTGTTCTGTCCATGTGTACAGCCTCATTTGGAAGTGACATTTGAAATATAAATTTCAAGTCCTTTGAACTGTAAACTCTTCATTTAAAGTCCTTATTCCCATCTTCATTTTATTGCTTGTCTCCATACATCTATGAAAAGAAAAACATGAGCATAAAAAAGATGGGCTGCAATCCCCCTGAAAAGAGGTAGAAAAGAGGCTTATGGGAGCCAAATGAGGCCATGAGAGCAACTTACAGGTTGAATTGAGAAGAATTTCTCTCCCCAACCCCCTGGCAAACTCATGCACTGTCACCAAGGGGGTCTTGACCCACTCGAATAAGCAGAGTCCCACACCAGTTCCCAGGATGGTGAACTGGAATGAGAGCTCAGACGATCAGGCCATGAATTAACGGGCTATGACTAGAGAAATTTTCCAGACTTCTCTGGCAAAAGTAAGCTATTCCTCCTGCAGACCCACCTCAAGACTTTATAACTCTTATTTATTTTTTTTAATTTTATTTGTTTATTTGAGATAGAACGAGAGAGAGAGAGAGAGAGAGAGAGAGAGAGAGAGAGAGAGAAAGCACATGAGCAGAGGAAGAAGGGAGGGAGAAGTCAGCTCTCCACTGAGCAGAGCCTGACTCGGGGCTTGATCCCAGGAACCCAGTATCATGACTGGAGCCCAAGGCAGACACCCAACTGACCGAGCCACCCAGGTGCCCCAAGTTTATAACTTTTAAGCTGAAATTGTTTTTCTGAAGTAATTACAAGGCACCAGTGAACACTGAGTGGAGGTTACTATTTTAAGTGATGAACTCTTTTCCTTGGAAGAGAAATAACAGGATTTTTGAATTGCTTATAATGACAGATGCACACAGACCCACAGAATAATATTTATAACTGGAAACTACAGGTTAAAGTATCACACTAACTATGCATGAAGATACAATCTATCCATGCTCTTGTGAAATTGTAGGGTTCAAGACATGTGATTATTCTATGGGTTACTGAATTATAGAAAAAAAAATTATATACAAAGAGTCTGAGGAGAGGCAGCACGATGTAGTAAAACCCCATGGGCTTGTTTCCCCTCCTTCTCCTCTTCTCTTCCTTCCTTACTCTACAATCTGGATTCTGCCCCCACCACCACCTCACCCCTGCCCCCCAACTCCCCGGCCCTGACTTGCCTGAAACTACTTTTGTCAATGATGTAAACCCATTGCTGCTAAACTCAAAGACACTTTTTATCCTTGTCTTATTTGATCACCCTCCACAGCATTTGACTCTTTGGCAAATGCCTTTCTTTCTGGATACACTCAATCTTGACTTCCTTGACATCATTCCTCTTGGATGTCATCTATTACCTGATCCCCTCCTCCTTCTCCTTCCAAATACTTTTTTCTTTTTGATCCCCTCACTGTTGCCACTGAAGGTGCCATCATAGGTCCTCCCCCCACCCCGCCCCACTCCTTTCTCTACATACATTATTCCCCTGGTGATTTCATCCATTTCAATGACCTCAAATGTTTTCTCCTCGGTAAAGAACTTCCTCATCTATAACCCCAGGCCAAGTCTCTCTCCTGAACTTCAGGCGTATAGAGCTAACTACTTACAGGAGCACAACAAATCCCCTCAAAACAGTGGCTCAAATCTATCACAGTTGTTTTACTCATGATTCTGGAGATACTGGGCTCAGCTAAGCAGTTCTCACAACATCCAGGTCTCTCAGGTGGCTGTGGCCAGACAATGGCTGGGGCTGAGATCATCTCAAAGTCTTCTTCATTCACATGTCTGTCATCCAGGTATGTGATTACCCCTCTGGATGGCCAAACTTCTTACATGACAGTTGAAAGTTCTGAAAAAGAGCTCATGTTTAGACGTGATGTTCTCATGTTCAGAACTGACCTGACATTCACAGCCAGGCCATGTTATGCTCCTGTTGGACATAAATAATCTCATAGAATACTGACCTCAGACAAGGTTACTCTGAGATTGTGACAAGATAAAATAAAACAAGGCCACTTCACAATTTTGTGTAAGTGCAGGCAAAATGCCACTATGACACCTATAAAATATCCACCATAGAATTATCTCCTTTCTGACAACATCCGATCTGGACCAAATCTATGCTTTCTTAAACCTTCCCCCAATCACCCAACCAAACCCCAAATCCTATAATAGGTTCTCTGTAACACCTTCTGTCTGAAACACCCCACAGTTCCCATGATGTTCATTCTTCTTTGCTACAAGTAATAAATGAAACCTGTTTAACTATAAAGGTGTTCCTGATGAACTTGGATTGAAGATCACTGACAGGTCCCAGAACAAGCATCTCTGTAGAAATCAGCATGGCCTTTTCTAAACTAGCCATGTATATCACATAGCATTGTTTCTGCACATTCTGAGAAAAAGAGATGTGATGCCCAGAGAAACGGTATGCGCATGAACCTATGGCAATGAATACAAAGCAGATCTCCCATTAATGCCTGCAAAAGAGCGTACACTATGGAGAAGACTCTCAGTGCCCACATACACATGATGATCCATCTTATGACTCTTAGCTAGCCCCCCTCTTCAGACTTCCCAGTGCCTGAGCAAGAAGCCCATAAATGGTGTTCATAGTGCTGTAACTGAAGCTACCCACCACTGAATGTGCTTCCACTGCTAAATTCGTAACCTGTCAGCAGCACAGTTTGATGGCAAGACCTTGATAGAGCACCATTCTTCAAGAAAACTAGCCAATAGTATTATTAATTATATCAGAACCAACCATCTGAGATCAGATAGCAATACTTTGCATATGCATTTGCCTTATCTTCCTGCAGTGCTTCTATGAGCACCACCATCCAAAGGTGCCAAATACTACAGAACTTTTGATTCATCGGCATGGTATCTCTTAAAAATATAAATAAACTTCTCAAATCACTATGTTGTACATCTGAAATAATGTAACACTGTGTCAACTCAAATAAAAAAGAAAAAAAATAAAAATATTAAAATATTGCCTAAGTCCAACTTGCCATTTTATAGCAAAGGGAATGTAGCAATGTACTCATTATCATGAGAGTCACTAATTCTACCATCTACTTTATAGCCCAGAAGCTTCCAGAATGATGGAATAGTCTGTGAAAGGCTCAGTTAAGGCATTGGCTCAGGGACAATACCTTGTGGGGCTGGGCATTGTCTTCCAGGATGACACATGGCTTTCTCTCCAATAGCTAGAATGCATGGGTCCAGGATGCATATATCTCCTCTGGCCAGTGATGGTAGGAAACAGGCTATAATAGCAAGTGTGCGCCAAAAAAGACGGAAAGACCTTTCAAATCAGGATCTAAGTCACCTTACCAAGCAACCAACTGATAACGAAAACAGTATTAATCCATTATTGAATACATGCTCATTTATTTAATTAGTCCTATATTGTCAAGACTTTGCTTCTATATGATTCAAGGTCCAGTTGAGAGACAGAAACTATGAGAGTTATTCAAACAGGGCAAATTTAGTACCCCCAAAATTAAATACTAAAAGAAACCAAAGAGGACTCAAAGGGGTTCAGAATCACAAATTAAAATAGCAGCTACCTGTAGGCTGAGGAAGGGGGGCAATAAAGAACCAAGGATAGGGGGCACCTGCATGGCTCAGTGGTTGAGTGTCTGCCTTTGGCTCAGATGGTGATCCCGGGGTCCTGGGATAGAGTCCTTCATTGGGATCCCCACGGGGAGCCTGCTTCTCCCTCTGCCTCTCTCTGTGTGTGTCTCATGAATAAATAAATAAAATCTTAAAAAAAAAAAAAAAAAGAACAGAGGTTAGGAGAAGCCCTTCTGGCCCCACCTCACGGCTGAGAATCAGATATTCTCAGAGAGGCAGCAGCAGAAGGCACAGACTGGCCCTGGTCTGGAAAAGCAGTTCATCCTGGCTCATGAGCATGGTTGAGTGGGAGCTGGTCTGCCTTCTGCTCTGTGCAGGTGGGCCAGAGGTCCTCTTTAGAAGTGGCCCACAATTGTTGGTGGGTACTGAGGGATGAAAATGCTTCAAAGAGGCTGCTGATAGGGACAGATACCCTGAGGGTGCCCCGCAAGTGCCTCCTTAAGGCTGCTGGGCTCTCAAAGCCTCTGCAGAGACCTCGGAAGCCTCCAAGTGTCATCTTGCTACTTCCCTGCAGCGCCCTCTATTGATGAAACAATATCCAGCCCAGCCGAGGGCAAAAAAGATCAGCTTACAGGCTTAGTGACCCAGGGACAAAGCAAGGCGAAGAAGGGTGAATTTGGAGCTCAGAGACAATAGCTTCTTTATAACTCTGTACACATTTATGTTCACATGTTCATATCCATGTAGGATATGAATATATAAAGACTAAGCACAGTCTGGGCAGGGCTGGGAGACTGATATACTAGAACAAATGCTCAGACAGTGAGTGAGTTTGCTTAGCTCCCTGCCCCACTTGGTCGGCTCCTGTTCTCTTTGGAGCCGGCTCATTTCCTTTGGAGTCTTTTCACTAAGGTAATTTTGGTTAGTTGGTTGGTTTATTAAAACGACTATCAAAGCAGAGATAAAACTAAAATTCTAATAGGGGAAAACAAATGCTTTTTAAATGAAACATGAGAATATCCACAAGTCTTCTCTGATTCTTGGAACAAATGTGATAAAGAAAGCCAGAAAGTCATGTTTGCGATTTGGAATTGAAAACGAGAAATGTTCAAGGTGCCCCCCTCACTGATGTCAAGGTTCTCCCCTGATCCACAAACCTGCAGGGTTGCTGTGAGGATCAGTGATAACACATGTAAAGCACACAGGAGGAGTCAGTACACAGTAGCTTTATTTCCTGAGAGCATTGCTGTTCAAGTGCGAAAAATCCTATCGTACCTATTTTTCATCTTGCCAAAGTTGTTTTTTTTAAGGATGGAAAATGCTTCTCGGGCCTAAACTAAAAATGTGTTACAATAAAATGTTAAGCCTCGATGACTATTAGTTACAGATTTGATGGCATTTCTTCCCAGCTTCTTAACAAATATCATTTGTCTTCTTTAACTGTTTACACTGAAATAAAATCTCAATGCAGGAGCAGAAGTGGAGGGCAATCGAATATTACATGATCTTTGCATTTGTCTTTGTTTCCAATATACTTAATTTGCATTAGCATTTGAGCACTTACCCTGCCTGTGTTGTAATAAGCCATTTGCATTGTGTCTTCATCCTAAGACTCCTTGAAGCAAGAGCTCATTTTAATAAACTATCTCTAGCACTGTGCTTTGCATGTATTAAGTTCCTAAAAAAAAAAAAAAAATCAGGTGCTGCACGGGTACCTGGGTGGCTCAGTCAGTTAAGTGTCTGCCTTCAGCTCAGGTCATGATCTCTGGGTCCTGGGACTGTGCGCATGTCCCACATAGGGCTCCCTACTCAGCAGGGACTCTGCTTCTCCCTCTGCCTCCCCACCCCACCCTACTTGTGCTCTCTTTCTCAAATAAAAAATAAAATCTTTTTTTAAAATAAAAAAGTAAGCAAATAAAAGATCAGGTGTTGCAAACACAAATGTTTTCATGTGCCAGGCCTGTATCATAAATTAATGAAGCAGGAATAATATAAAATAGCAGAGATCCATGGGGGACATATGAAAGTGGGAAAGAGCATATCCACCTAAAGGCATTTATATAAAATGGAATAAAATAAAACATACTCTTGTGGGGGGGGGCAAACTACAAGCTACATTAGACTATAAGACAACCTGCTTATGACATCTATATAAATCTTGGGTGAACTGAATTAGAAACTGAAGTAGTGCTTAGAAAGAACCCAAAATGGATTACCAATGAAAATCAGGATTCAGGTCTGAGCCAGAAGTCTCACTGCTTCCAGCCCGGTCTCTACAACCCCTCCTTCTCCCTCCATCTCCCTCCCGTAGCCCTGACATGGGCACCTTCCCATCTCTCCTCATATCATTCTCCCCAGGGCATTGCATTTGATTTTCTTTTCTTATGGTAAAACTCATATAACATAAAACAAACCATTTTCACATTTTAAAGTGTAAAATCCAGTGGAAATTTGTGCGTTCACAGTGGTTTGCAACCATAACCACTATCTAGTTCCAGAACATTTTCATCACCCCAAAAAGAGAACCTACCCATTACTCAGTCCTGCCTCACACTCCTTGTCTTAGCCGCTGGCAATCACTAGTTGGCTTTTCGTGAGACCTTTATTTTTGTTTTCCTTTGCATCATCAGTTCAGCCAACGTGGAAAGAAAATCACACCAGACCTCAGATCTGATAAGGTGAGAAAACGGACACAGCGTTAGGTCAGAATAAAGCTTTCTGAATGCAGAGTTAGGGAAGCTTAATTAGATAAGTTCCCTATCGAGGTTTCTTTCCTGTTCTCCATTGGGTATTTCTCTTCTTTGCACCCTCAATTGTGGCCAATTATATTCTATTGCCCCACAAATATTTTTGGTTGATGTTTTGAGTCAGCTGAAAATGAGTTTAAAATGCCTGGTGTAAATACTCACACATTCTATCATGTGCCAAAGCACTTTTTCCTTGGCTGACTCAGGATTGTTGATTGAAAAAAAAAAAAAAAAGGATTGTTGATTGATGTTGTCAGTTTCCTTGGAAATCACTTGGAGACTTAAGAGAAAGATCCCCCTGCAAGGCTGAATTTCTCTAAAATGGTGAATTGCCAGCTAGTTACACCAGTGCATTGAAAATACCTCTTGAGGTGCAACGCAATCACTATAAATCTACACAGACCAGACCTTGAGATTCTTGGAGGTCGGTGTTGACTCACTTATTCATCAGGCCATGGAAAATTCACTTGTATCAAATCTGGCCATTTTTCTCTAGCTTTAGAAGATAAGCAAAAAGCTTTGTGCACGCAAATGTGAATACAGGTTGACTTCAAAGTAATGCAAATGTAATTTTGAAACTATAACCACATGTTCTACGTTGCATTTTTTTCTTTACTTGGTAAAGATGGTCTTGAGTAAGTCACCTCAATTTTGGGGAGTCTTTTTTACTTATCTTTAAAAAATTAAAAAAACTTTACCTAGATCAGTAGTTTCTTATTCAAGGTATCCTAATCTGAACACATGTGTTATCTGTACTCCAAAAAATAATACATCTTTCCATTTATAGGCTATCATTTTTTAATATTTGGATTTTTTAGTTTAATAAATATTTGTTACATTATATTTTTATATTTAAGAAATATAAAATTATTCATGCTAACTATAGAAAATTGGAAAATAAAGAGAAAAGAAAATCACTTATAATCCTGCTACACAGGCATAGTGATTATTCACATTTCAGCATATATTCATCCAATTTTCTATGCAAATTCATATGCATATTCATATGTATATTATTTTGGCCAAACTGAAATATACTATAAACATATTTTATAACTTGTATTTTTACTTAATAATGTATCTTAAACATTTTCCTAAATCATGAATTATTTTTCTACAACAAGGTTTAAATGACACTCTTAAATGTGAGTACATGTTGCTATTTTTGAATACTTAGATTGTTTCCAATATTTTATCATTTTTAACAACACTGCTATGAACATCTATGATGTGATTGCATTAATATTGTGAATTAAGAATTGTCATTTTTGGAACACCTGGCTTAGTTGATTGAGCCTCTGACTCTCGGTTTCAGTTCAAGTTGTGATCTCGTGGATCATGAGACTGAACCCTAAGAAGGGCTCCACAGTCAGTGGGGAGTCTGCTTGGAAGATTCTCTCCTTCTCCACCATCCCCCACTTGTTCTCTCTCTCTCTCTCTAAAATAAATAAATAAATCTTTTAAAAAAAAGAATTGTTATTTTTACTAATGTTCAAATTATTGCATCTCTGGATGATAGGTGCCCCCTTTTGATGGCTCCTAAATTCTTCTGATACAACTGTTAGAGTCTTTGATAACTTCCTCACTTGCTAGTAGGATCAATGTCCCAGGCACCTTTTATATGTAGTCTTCCCTGTACTGAGATCAGTCACTTTTCCAAAGATCCCTCACTCCTTTTACTGGAAATTGTATGTAGAGAGCCCATGCTGGGCACTAGAGGGAAAGCTCATTGTTACTGCTACTGGCGTGGCAAGTATTGTGAGGTCTTTTTAGGAAATTGAACTAGAAAAATAAAAATTTTTTTTAAAGATTTTATTTATTGGGGTGCCTGTGTGGCTCAGTCAGTTGAGTGTCTGTCTGCCTTCAGCTCAGGTCATGATCTCAGGGCCCTGGGATCAAGCCCCACACCAGACCCCCTGCTCCATGAGGAGCCTGCTTCTTCCTCTCCCTCTGCCTGCTGCTCCCCCTGCTTGTGCTCTTGCTTTCTTAAATAAATAAATAAATAAATAAATAAATAAATAAATAAATAAATAAATAAATTTTATTTGAGAGAGTGAGCAAGAAAGAGCAGAGCACAACCTGGTGGAGGGCCCGAGGGAAAGGGAAGAGCAGACTTCCGACTGAGCAGGAAGCTTCATGCCAGACTCAATCCCAGGACTCTGGGACCATGATCTGAGCAGAAGGCAGCTGCTTAACTCACTGAACCATCCAGGTGCCCCTCTTGTTCACATTTTAAATAAGAAAATGTACGACTAGTTCTTGAAAAAGAAAACACCTTCTATCTCTCTAATATTTTACTTAATCTCACATATAATAATAATGCTGCTTAAATCCATTATACAAACTGAGATACAAGCTACTTATGACTGTAGTTAGTATTTAATAAAATCAAACAACCTGACAAATTCAAAGCAAATGGGCCTACAATGCTAATGACGTTGAATCCAACAACACTAATTTAACTTGACAGATAATAATGGCTTCCATAAAGAACCATTCCCTTCATCGTGACCATTGTACTGATTTGGGAGGAAGGGGGGCAGGTTCTTTGGAATTTGGTTCACTCATCCTCCTTCACACTTCTTATGTTTTGAATTCTCACTGCTTAACTCTATTCAACTGACTGAAAACCACAGCAGACCAGCTTCATTCCCCCAGCATTTGGTGTCAATTACAAATTAAGTTGACCTTTGTTCCCATATGTTCTTATTCAACAATTGCAGATCTATTGCTTAGTACTAATATAGCCCCATTGTAGGTCAGTACTCAGTACTGACATAGGGTACTAAGTCAGCTCTAAGGTTCAGTCTGATGCTCCCAAACATTACAGATAAACCCTGGACAGTATATATAAATATATATGTGAGGTTGTGGAAGGGGAGGTGGGCAGGGGATTGGGGTAACTGGGTGACGGGCACTGAGGAAGACACTTGATAGGATGAGCAATGGGTGTTATACTACATATTGGCAAATCAAACCTCAATAAAAACAAAAAATAATAATAAATATATATGTGAATACACACATATATTATCATTTTAACTTTCTCCCATGTTTCACATCTGGTAAACGATAGAGCTGAGAGTCTTACTCAGATCTTTTTATTCCACTAAACTGCCCAGATTAAAATAGGCCAGTGGTTTTTCATGACTTGAGGAAATGAAGGCAAAAGTGGTTGTGATGTGCTAGAAGAGGCCTGGGATCTGAATCTAGATAATTGTAGTAGTCTACTACTACTATGAAGTGAATTCATAGCCTTATGAATTTGAACATGTCCCTGAACCTCTCTGGATTTCATCTTCCTCATCTGCAATAGGAATGGGTTAGATCATGGCCCTTTACAGTTCCAAAATTCTGTGTATTTTCTATACTGGCCAAACACCCCTTTAGTGAAGCGGTATGACTTACACGATATTCTCCTTTGTCTCTGTGGAGTTTCTAATTCCCTCTAAGCATCAACCCATGAGGTCAAAGAAGAAATGGGAAATTATTCCAAATTTGGGAAGTATCTATTCCAAATAATTTAATACTAAAAGGATGATCATTTGACTGAAGGATATGGTTAAAAAACATCTATTCCACCATCTTGGAATCACCATGCTAAAAGTAGAAAAGATACTTTAGACATGACTCAATACAATCCCTCATTCTACTGATGCAAATTTATGTGACTTCCCCAAGACCAAACAGCTTACTTGTATTACAGACAGATGATTTATTACCTGGGTTATTAATATCTAACTTACCATAATGCCCTCAAAATTATTTTCTTACATCCACCACCAAAAATATAGAAGAGGAAAGCAATATAAAAAAGTGGTTAAGTATAGGCTGTGAAACTAAATTGCCGGTGTACAAATTCCAACAGCAACACTTCCTGTGTGATGTTCAGACAATTATGTAATGCCTTCATACTTCAGTTTTCTCCATCTGTAAAATGAGGGTGACAATAACTGTACTTACCCACTCCCCAGTTAATCAGGAGAATTAAAATAATAATCCATGTAAACCGTTTAGTATATTGCCTGGCACATAGGAAATCACCAATTTTGAGATTAAATTGTGTATTTAATATATTGGCTCAATTTGATTGAATGTCTTTATTGCATTTCTTTTACTGGTATTCAGGGTCAGAATTAGTCTAAAATGATCTTACAAGGATTGTCAATCTACAAATTAGACTATAGTAGAAGTGTGCACTAAAACAAGAGCTCTAAAGTTAATTTTAAGAATAAAAAAGATATAGAGCTGCTTTCCACAGCAGTTCACCAAGGGCAGGATATTCCAAAACTTGCAAAAAATGACTCTGCAATCACCTATAAGTATAAGTAACATCGCATCCACTGGCCTCCAAATTTTTTGTACCCTGCTAAGCAGTTGATGATTGGATTTTTGCCAGTGTATGGATGTCACTTTAACATCACCATATTTAAGTGACAGTGATTAAATCCTGTAAAACACTGTGTATGAATTTCAAAGCCCTTTATGACTGTTTATCTCATCTTCATGGACCTTAAAACCTAATAGCTTTGGTTGCAATAAAAAAGGGATTTCCAATAGTTAAACATCTCTTCAAGGCCACTACCAGGCTGTTCAGCTGATCAAAATTATGATGTCACCCAGACACCAAACCCCATGTGTCCTTGTCTTCAACTTGTCCATTAATTGACAATGTAGGGGTGGGGGATGGGGGTGAAATATGTGTTCTCCTTCCATTAAAAAAGGACATTAATCAAAAGAACTACAGTTCAGGGAATACAAATGTTGCAACTTTGCTCTGGTTTAGTAGTTTTAGGGTAATATATAGGTTCATTGAAAACCCAGTACAAAAAGAATAGATATTCACAGTAGAATTATCCATTCCTCTCCTTCCCCTTCTGAAATGTTAAGGTGGCCAGTCTGAAACACAAGAGCCCCGAAAGATTATAACCAAAAGAACCAGCTCAGAGCCACATGCCCCTGACATACCTTCCCTAAATCATTCATTTGTCCAGCTGTCATTCTTCTTCCCTTTCCTGGTGAATACAATGTCTCACCTCTCCCAACTCCTGAGACCTTCATCAACGCCATCTCTCTACACTAGCCCACCTGCTGACATGCCCACAAAGACAACACACCCTCTTTCTCAGGCCCAGCTACTCACCGCCACCCGCACCACACACACACACACACACACACACACACACACACACCCCTACCACCCACACT